TCAGGGATAAAAGAAAAGGCGTGATGTTATGTTATGTCTATCTGAAAACTGGGGAGATTACGGTTATGTACATACAATAGTACGGTTATGTACTATCACGGGTGGTAGATGCTCCTATTACTATTTGTTACAAATACATATGTAAAGAAATAATATAAATTTCTTTATTTGAATGTGATCTAACAGATGACGTTTATATGTCATCTGTCTATTTAAATAAAATATCCTAGAATTAGTATTTGTTGAAAAGAATAATAACTTTATTATTAATTTCATTAATTAAGTATTATAATTGTGATTAGGAACTGGCATTGTTAATAATAACATTAAATGTCGTTTCTTTTCTTACAGGTTTGTAATAACTTAATAAGTAATAACACAAATTTGTTAAATTTTCATATTTTATAAACAATAAATCTTTTCTTACAGAGAAACTCAATTGTGTTTAACTGACTGTGTCGTCCTAATCCAGAAATATCGTATACATATAATTTGTTTACCCGGATGTAAACTGAACTCAAAATCAAAATCTAGAACAATTCACAAATTAAAATTCGTATTGAAATATCCATTGCGTAAACTGGAAATCAAACCTTGAACACCTTTCCTTTCTACGGTTGTAGAAGTTGAATTTATTTATAACATATTACAATTCTACTTACATATCTGATTTATATCTACATACTAACATATGTCAGAAATGTATATTAATAACATAGCACCCACTCGACCTTCAAACCTTCAAGAAAAGAGCGTATTCCTTTTTAAGAGGCCGGCAACGCACCTGTGACTCCTCTGGTGTTGCGGGTGTCCATGAGCGGCACTGCTTACCATTAGGTGACCCGTCTGCTCGTTTGCCTCCTATTCCATTAAATAATAGGCTCACCCCCTATTACATAGGACTCATAACATAAATAGTGAAAAGTGGGTGTTACATTGTAGGCACAGTGGCATAATGTGCACCTCTGCCTACCCCTTCGGGGATAAAAGGCGTGATGTTATGATGATGAGTTATGATCCATAAAACAAAACTCATCTCATTTTAAAAGGGATGAGACTACATATTATCATACACCGAGGACAATTCCAAACACCGCGTTGTTACTGAAAAAATATTTGAAAACCTCAGGAAAAACGCCCAATAACACTTATTATGGTCGTGTACTCTATCCACCCCTAAACTACCTCTTAATTACAAATCACATAACGTGAGGTAGCACCTAAACTAACTTACTTGTACGTGTTATAGGTTGTTAAAACCTAAAATGTCGTTAAGTGTCACCTTTCTTGGTTTAGAAATACCTGTATATTTAAGAGAGGTTACTCAAAACGGGTATTAGATAAATACTCTACCGGAATCAAATTTAACCAATGAGATAGAAAGAAAGAAAAACCGTTTACTACGCCACGACACACATGCAGATAACAATACAAGAACACATAAAAATTGTGGTGCGTCGCAGCGCAAAAGGCCGGAGCTCAGCTTAGTGCTGTGGCCTGGGCACGAAGGGTCGAATCCACGGCGCTGATTTTCAGCACCAACCTGTTTAATACCATTTGGCCCTACCGTACCTCCACCAGACGGTGCTAGCGTGAGCGTCTCGTTCTTCGTCTTATAGAGAACTAGCTTTTACCCGCGGCTTCGCTCGCGTCACAAAAGGATAAAAAGTAGCCTATGTGACATATACCAATACACACAGCGCCATCTATACCAATACTTTTGTTTTCCCTCGGGAATATCACATTTTTCCGGGATAAAAAGTACCCTATTATTTAATCCGGACTTCTAACTTTACGTCTGTAAAAATTCAAAGCAATCGGTTTAGTAGTTACGGCGTGAAAGCGGAACAAACAAACAAACTCACTTTCCGATTCATAATATACTAGTCAAAACAAAATAAGGGCCACCACGTTTTTATAGTTTCCTCATGAAATCTTGAGGTTTAAGGGTTGATTAATGATTAGATTTGATAAATTAACTGTTTTTTATTATTAACAGCACAAAATAATGAAAGACACATTCCAAAAAAAAAAATTACCATTTTTTCTGAAAAACTAACATTTTTGCAAGCAAAACGCATGAAATCAAAATTAAGTGAAAAAAAAACTAAACCAGATATTGGTTGAATTGTAACTCCTCAATGCTTAGTATGCCCTCCTCGTTTTCTAATGCACTCTTGAAGCCTGGATGGTACACTCTCCACCAAGTGTACCACTGTTTCTTGAGGAATTTGTTCCCAGCTTGATTTTAAAATGTTTATTAGCTGTCTTTCATTGTACACGGGTTGGTTTGTGCTTCGGACGTTGCGTTTGAGTAAATCCCACATGTGTTCAATGGGATTGAGATCCGGACTGTTTGCAGGCCAGGGCAACACCTGTATACCAGCCTCCTCTATACCTTCTCTGGTGGCCCTAGCTGTATGAGCGCGAGCATTATCGTGCATCAGACGGAATATTGCGCCGATTCTTTGTGCATATGGGTTCACATGAGGTCTTATGACCTCCTCGATGTAACGTTGAGCTGTAATTGTGCCTTCGTTGAGAATTATCAACTCAGTTCTACTTGATGTAGAGATTCCTCCCCACACCATAACGTTAGCGCCCCCAAATCTGTCACTTTCATGGATACAAGCATCCGAAAATCGCTCACCTTCACGCCTCCAGACCCTGATGCGACGGTCATCACTAAAAAATTTTACTTTGCACTCATCCGTAAACAATACTGTGCTCCATTACTCATATCCCATTCCAGATGCTGCCTTGCGAATGATAATCGGTTTGCACGATGAGCACTTGTCAATGGTATCCGCAAAACACGTCTCCTAGAGAACTGCTGGTCCTCGTGTAACCGATTTCTAATGGTTTGATCACTAACACGTGTACCCGTAGCCTGCCGCAAACGGTTTTGTAAGGAACGGGCTGTGATGCAGCGTTCTCTGCGCGCAGTCAAACGTATGTAGCGGTCTTCCTGTGCGGTAGTTGCTCGATTTCTGCCAGATCCCCGTCTCCTGGTTAGTCTCCCAGTCTCTTGAAATCGATTCCAAGCATTCTGAATTGCTCACCGAGAAAACCCAGCTGCATCGCAGCAGAACGCTGCGAATGGCCCTCTTGAAGTAATGTTACGGCCCTAGTGACGGTTGGTAAGTCCATATGGCGTCGGATTCTCGGCATATCTTTGTTAAAGAAATAATTCAGCCAGAAGTAAAACAAAACTAAACTATTCTTGACAGAATCGTCAGTTTGACTGAGTTAAAATCCATCTTAAAATCGGGTAAAATCAAGTGGATACAATAAATTATCAAAAACTGCCCACTTTACAGAGTTATGCCTGTAGAACACTTAAATAAATGTTTGTAAACAAATAAAGTAACGCTGTAATAACCATTCAGCTACTTGAGTACGCAGAAAAAATAAATTATCGCTACCGCTGTTAAAAATAACAAGTGGCCCTTATTTTGTTTTGACTAGTATATTAAGTAAGGATAAGCTAGTATCTAGCCATTGGACGCTCAAAATTTGACAGCTGTAGGCTATACACAAGTGGTCTATAAATTGAAACACACCATGCCACCAATACAATACCGTGATGTGAATCACTATGAAACCACATGAAATTGCACCTTTCAAATGTATTGTCTTCAACGAAAGCAGTTCTAGCGAAAGTTATCTCATTTTGTTATGTAACATGTATAATACAATAGATACTTGTGTACGATTGTTACAAGAGATTTAGTGATAGACATTATAGTTTTTATGTATGTACCTATGTAGTAATTATTTACTCGTTAATTTAACATCTATGTATGAACTTAATTATAATTTGTTATGTAAGAGAAAAAGCATAATTGTAAAAGTTTCGACTGGTTGTAGTCTGTCATCCACTTAATCAATCAGTCACCATTAAATAATGATAATAGATACTCAACAATATTTTGCCCAGGAAGGCATTGTCGGGATTGTTTCTTGAAAACAATTGATTAAAGCATTAAGGTAATATCAGACTGTTCACTCGAATGAATTAGATGAAGTGATCACTGATCACTTCATTTAATCAAATCCGAGTGAACGTTCACTTTGTGTGCATATAGTTCATTTTTCGTTCATTTCGAGTAGGGTGAATAATGCCGTATGCCAAAATCCAACATTGTAGGATCTGTTCATTAATGATTTCATTTTGCACTCTTGTTTCATTCTGAGTTAAGGCGTATCATTATGAACGAAATATGCCGAATAAAAGGCAATAAATAATCGTTTGATATCACCTTTATTAAATGCTTGGTTTACCAATTTGTAGGTATGTAATAAGCTCAAGTACGTATAAATTACCCATATGGTATGGGTAACGGGTAAAAAATAAAAAACTTATTTTTACGTGCATTCAATAGCGAATATCTATAGAAAGAACTACAGACAATATCATTTCGCCTATCTATGTCAGTAGTGCGTGACAGAATGCGTTCTGCGTAGATACTAGATAGCGTCTCGAGAGATGAATGAAATCGATTACATCGATTATTTCCAGAGATAACGGTGAAATGAATCGATTGAGTAAGATATTACGATCCAGTCACCGATTGTGTAATACCTACTGATGGTGTATTATTATTGTCTATAATAATAATCCAAGGGGATTAAACTAAAAAGTTGTCCAGTTGGTTAATTGATTTTTAAATACCAAGTTAATATTTAAGTGTATTTAAGTAGCTAGGTTTTTCCCTATATGATCACATAAATTGGAATAAGTTGGTAGCCTTAGTATTAATTATTAAGAGGTAATTAAATTACCAACCTTCTGATATTATAAATGTGAAAGTATGTTTATTTGTCTGTCTCTCACATTCACATCGCATAGCTATGATTTTGGATCTGGAGACAGTCAAAACCTAGAGGCTAAAAAAATTAAAACTTTTGCCTTTGACCAAGCAGTTTAAGTTATCCATGGATGGCTACTTTAGTAGTAATATAAACAGCAATATTAATTTACCTCATGTGTTCCCCAGTGGTGGTCAACAACGTCGTGTATCGTTCGCTGTGGCGCTGATGCATGACCCTGAGCTGCTGATCCTGGACGAGCCGACAGTAGGAGTGGACCCACTGCTGCGTCAGTCCATCTGGACGCATCTGGTGCGCATCACCAGCTCCGGAGACAAAACCGTCATCATTACCACACATTATATTGAAGAAGCTAGGCAGGCGCATTGTGTGAGTATAATCATGAATTGTTTAGTTGACTACAGTAAAAGGACATACTATACTTTGGACTCGCTGAACGTTTTAGCCTATGTTCCATGGTCCATTTACCTGAGGTGTTTTTTTTATATATTTGGTGGGCCGACGTTTGACCACTATCTCGCCTGGTGGTAAGCGATGATGCGAAAATAGGATGAGAAATACCAGTTCTGTAACCTTATTTGTAGCATTGAAGATTTAATTCTATCATGTGCACAAAAAGCCATTAATTATATCTTCTTCGTTATTCATACTACTTAGGATGTGAGTTAAACCTGTATATACCCGTCATGGCGTCATCTTTAGAATTCACGAATATTGTAATTCTCGGTGCTTACATTTCTTACTAAACCGAAAATGAATATAATTTGGACGACGACCTATAGAGTCTGAACTAAAGTCCTCATACTTCGATCATGTGTTGGTACAATCAGGCTGTCAATTCCATTTACCAGTAGGTGCATCATGTATTCAATATTTATAAAAGCATATAGCAATAAATTACTATTTAGATACTTACTTTAACATAAACTTTGTTCGTTGTCAAGTCACAATGATAGCAAAAACTTGCAAATTTTGTACAAAATTGTTAATCTTCCTCGAAGGTCCTCGTTTGGCAATGACACGTGTCTTGATGGATGACGATAAACATATTATGATGATAAATATCTAGCGGTACAGCCTTTTAGAGAAGCGATATATAATGCTATGGCTTCTATTCCACAATGAGGTACTTAAACTTAAACTATACGTTTTCACACGTGGAAAAGCCATGCTTCGGCAGTTTCAACTGAGGGCCTTGTACGAGTTGTTTATCGTTAAAATGTTACCTACTCCGTTTAGCCCTCTGATTGGTTGGTTCATAAGAGCTGGCCAATCAGAGCGCCGAACGTCATAAATGTGGCGATCGTCGTAACGTAAAATATACTCGCACTAGGCCCCGAGTGATACCATGGCTTCACGGTATACCAGCGTGATATTTTTTTTTTTTTTTTTTTTTTTTTTTAAGGGGGGAAATTTTTTAAGCGTGATATAGATATAACACGTAAGGTTTTTCACATTATTAACTCATCTGGTTACTGAAAGCTCTGAAGACTGTCAACGAATTTGTAACTCTTTTAGTGTTATGAGTGTTCATAGGTGGCGCTGCTCACTATTATTATATCCTCCCCTATAAAGATTAAGAAGGGGATAAAAAAAGTTCAAAAATACTTCTTACTAATATGTACCTCTATGTATGCGAAAGTTCATTTTGTGTATGTTTGTAACCTAGTGACGTCAAACGGCTGAAGGAATCGACATGAAGTTTGGAACAGGGGTAGATTATGATCAAGATTGACACATAATCTATTGTTTAACCCCAGGGGAAAGCAGGAACACCGCTGGCAGACGCTAGTATAAAATATATACGTCCTAAATTAAAACGGTCGCGGCGACGTGACGCGATGTCGCCGCGACCGTGCTCACTGCTCGTGAGGAAGAACTCCTCTATGGTTCGAAACTAGTAGAGCTTTTCTCAGTATATTCGCGTGAGTAACCCGCGATTTTAGTTAATTTAGTATGTGTCACGATCGTTATTATAAAAATATATACAGCCTTCTAAACACTTGGACTTTAAGAATATATAATACAATTCTACAACATTTAGATACAGTCCCTTTCTAGAAAAACATGCTAAACGATGTTATAACACTTAAAATATAATTTGAGCAACCTCTTAATGTTTCCGGATTGCTGTTTCCTTGAAAAATCTTGTTTTCGTATAAAAACTAACTAATCAAGGCTCACTGGTTTCCACGACTATATGTCATTAGCATACTATGTTTATACATAATTTCGAATACATACAACTATTAGAAGCTTCAGTATAAGAAAAAAATTAGAGAAAAATACTTGATGGCAAAAAATTGATACAGAGTTGAGTTCTATCTATCTATCTCGTTTTCGCGAACACATTAGTCTTGGAAAACTGGATTTACTAACTGGTTATAATTTTTAATAAGAAATTAAACAATAAATCACCATGTAACCATGATAAAACTAAATCTATGGTGTTCATTACAACTTCAAATTGTGAAATTTATCAATTACATGTGGGAGAGCCATGCTTCGGCACGAATGGGCTGGCTTGACCGGAGTTATACCACGAGTTATACAAAGCTTACCTTGTGTTTCGTCATGTGAGTGAGGTTATGGGAGGCCAAATTACCCTCACCCCTCCCCAATGTTCCCAATCCTTGAAGCCCGAACAGTCCTCAAATTCCTAATCCACAAAAGGCGGGTAACGAACTTGTAACGCCTCTGGTGTTCCGGGCGTCCATGGTAAAAACAAAAATTACGTTCACACCAGTTAGCTATAACTTAAACAAAAAGATCAAAAATATCTGTTGTGAAACCCCACGATTATCTTAACCGTGACGTTCAAGATCGGCAAGTTCAAAGCACAGTTTGACCACAAACGACCACTAATGAAGGAATGAAGGCAGTGACCAAAACGCAATGAACGTTTTTCCAAAGTTTTAACAAAAACCATCAAGAATTGTTATTTGACATCATTATTTTATACGGCTGTTGTGAGAAAAAATGGAATAATTCGTAATTATAATTACATAAAAATTAGGTAGATATACTAGTTCTTAATGAGTTATCTCGTTAATGAACAAGAATTATTATAAGTGTCTATAAAAACGTAGTGCCTGTCCTGCCAACAATAGGTATATCATCATCCATGTCTGCTCTCTCATCCGGCATCCATGAATTAACGAAAAATTACGAGTTACTCTCAAACAATGTACTGAGGAAAGTTCTACTAGTTTCGAGTCATAGAGGGAATAAGCAGCGCGACATCGCCTAAACCGCTCACGCTGCTCATGAGGAAGAGTCTCACTATAGTTACTATCAATAATACACTAATAAACGGTAATTTGTAGGACATTTATAAGTTTAACTTTTATTTATTTAAGCACTGACATTTTAATGTATTATACTATGACAATTTTAGTTTTATTTTTTTGTTATATTACCTTTATTGACTTAAGCTAACAATATTTCATACGCCTGTGAGGGCAGATTTTGGTGGTACTAACTTAATACTGTGATCATAATTATTTACTCAAAATGTAATGAATAAATGATTTTGATTTTGATTTTGATCAAAACATACCACCCAGGAGTTATCCCTACAATCATTTTGCAAATGGAAAAATAGTTTTTCTTGAATAGTGGAACAAACTTACTATAAGACGGTTTTTACTATTCGCTTAGCCACAAAACAGTCCTATTCAGAGTACCATTGCATCTTTAAGCATTTCTTTGATTAACAATTTGATACTCTTTCCAGATCGGTCTGATGAGAAGCGGTCGCCTCCTGGCTGAGGAGTCACCACAGGCGTTACTGCAGATGTACAGCTGTATATCTCTTGAAGATGTGTTCCTCAAGCTGTCTAGGAAACAAGGTGAGGGTTTAACTACTTTTACTTTAAAATAGAAGGACTTTTGAAGTCTGAGTCTTTGCTTAGAGTGAAGACCTTTTTGTTCAGTCAAAAGTAGGGTGTTAGTATATACAATTAGAGGTCGTGGTCTAGAAAGTCGTGGTGCGCCCCTAAAGTCTAATAAAACTCGTGTTGAATTATTATTCACGTAAAGAGACCTCCGATTTAGTTTCGGCATTTCTTCTCAGTGTAGTGAGTTAGGAAATGTCGACCTCATCATTCGCTTGAAAAATTGACGTGTGAAACTGCTGCCTTGTAGCCTATTTGCAGAAATTAATTCACTTGTTTCACTTGATTATCTTGGTTTCTGTCGACCCTACGATCTTTAAGCGCTTACTCGTTGAAAAACCTTTCCGAATAGGTTTTCAGAGACAACATAGTTAATGCACATTAATAATTCATAGTCAATGATCAATCCCATCCTCGATAAATCGGACACGTGACACATGTGACTGAGACAGTTCATTGCACTTGAATTTACACTCTAATCCTATAAACAGTAAGAGTTAATTTTGAAATCATACTAATAACGTTCATACATTCCGATTCTCACCTGGAGAACACGGATTGAATGGTACAGAGAAAACAATAGGGCTGTGTTCACACGATATCCTTGTCAATGTTTATATGAGGCGGTGAGAACTCAGCCTAGCTTAGACATTGTTTAGTTATAACTTTATAACAATTCATTGACCAGGCCGTTGATCTTTGTAGGTGTAATATAATCAATGACTTTCCGTCATTATTTTTTTAGGTGTAGGCAGTATTTATTAAACACTAGCTTTTGCCCGCGGCTTCGTTCGCGTCACAAAAGGATAAAAGTAGCCTATGTGACATATACCAATACACACAGCGCCATCTATACCAATAATTTTATTTTCCCTCGAGAATATCAAATTTTTCCGGGATAAAAAGTACCCTATTATTTAATCCAGACTTCTAACTTCACGTCTGCAAAAATTCAAAGCAATCGGTTTAGTAGTTACGGCGTTAAAGTGGAACAAACAAACAAACAAACAAACTTTCCGATTTATAATATTATATAAGGAATAAGGATAAGGATTTTGAGCGGTGAACAATTTTGAAAGTCAAACCTATGGTGTCGGACATGTTGCTTAAACTTAACCTAAACCTAATTTTAAATTAGCCTCAAGAACATTGTAATTTTGACATTGTACGTAGTAAAGTTAGGTAGGTACCTACCTCTAAATACACTGCTAATCGTCTCGCCTTCTATAACATGAAAGTCGAAACATAGCCAGCAAAAAATGGACGAAAATGAATATGTGGACCTCTATTTGAACTGGGGGCTAACGTTCTATTGCTGGCCAGATATCGTAAATGTAGGAAGGCATTTTTTGTCCAATCACAGCAACTGTAAAATATTGAACGTCCAATGGTGGGACATTTGCTAATGAAGTTCACACGAGCGCCATTTGGTTAGCAAAAATACGGTAGGCCCCATTAATAGGACAGTGTCATTGTCATGTTGTTTTATTATTTTGAGGTTTGATTCATAGGTCCTACCTACTTATCTAAGGCTTAAACGCCGATATTTCAGTTACACGTTTTCATGAGTGCAAATTATCGGAACCTTACGTTGCGCATGCGCATGATCATAAACGATATCGCGTAGTAAAACATTATGGTATTTTGTTCAGTACGCTATTTTAACATGTGTTTATTGTTCAGTTTAATTTCATAATCTTTTATCGCCATGTTGTAAATTGTTTTGTAAGTATTCAAGAAGAATTAAGAATTTTGATATTAATCGCCTTCTTTTGCTTAAAGAGGATAGGTTTATCATTATGGAACAAGCAGTTCATCATATTGAATGTAGTACAACTATTATACTAGTGACTTTTTTGTGTCTGACAACAATTAATTCAGATACTAAACTTTGTGACCATTTTTGCCAACGTAATAGAACCCCTAAGCTAATATAGGTGACATTCATCAACAAATTCATTTTCACCACCCTATAAATGACACCTAAAAATACAGGTAGGAGGTTGGTTTTTGGGTTCTCTCAGGTTATAACTTCTAGTGACTTCTAGGAGATATGTTTCAGAGGTAATTGGACAAAACAGCCAACGGTCTTATACTAGCATATATTATATTAGCACGAGTGACATAATATCTATGCTTATATTTCAGTCCACTGGTCCATTGCAAAATAATCTTCGTCCAACTGTTGCCCAATTTAAATATAAGCTGTTTATTGCTGTGTAAACTGTTATGAGCTGATCGTAAAATACTAATGACTATTTGAATCACCTGCCTGAGTTATGAACATAATTCTAAGTACAATACACGTGTTGTATAACTCACCTAATTTAACTATTGTTGCTAGGTTAAAAAAAAGGTTTTAAAAATTCTCAGTCGTAACACGTAGTCTGGAATTGTGCCCGGTATATGGCAATAGGCTCACCCCCTATTACATGGGACTCTTAACATAAATAGTGAAAAGTGGGTGTTACATTGTACAGTCGCAGTGTGCACCTCAGCCTACCGCTTCGGGGATAAAAGGCGTGATGTTATGTCATGCTAGGTAATGAAAGAATATGACATATTACCTTTAATTCTTCCCGGAGCCGCAATAAACTTAACAGGTTGACAGGGCTCTGCTCCGAAGCACGGGTAGTAACGGGTGGTTTTATATCAGTAAGAGTCTGACACTCCCACTCGCTTCACCCAGGAGGAACACTGGATGATTTACCCCTTAAAACCATTAAATTTTTAGAAAGAATAGGTAGAAAGGTTCGGTACTGTAATGTCCCTATAAATACACTTCCATTAGGTACACCTGTAACGAACTACGTAATGAAATCTAAGACTCTGAATAACATAGACTTTTAATTGCTGTATCATCACGAAACTTGGCAATTGTATATAGATTAGGTAACAATATAATGTTATGGTGTTATCGAGCTGATTCGATGATGCAATTGGAAGGTTAGTTGATTTAACCATGGTCTCTCTACTACTGAACATATTGAAAGGACTTAATAGGCAATTATTATGCTCTCAACATCTCGGTCCAGTTTTTATTTACGATAATTTTTACTTATCGTTTTCTAGCAGCATATTGTTCAGTCCTGCATACTCCTTTGGTGATAAAAATGCTTGAAGTTACACAATAATAGTGACTATTTACAAGTATGAAACTGGCTTAACCTGGTGTGTAGTCTCACCTTATATTGGCAACTAATGTCTGTTACTCACTAAATATTTAATGCAGATTTTTATTTATCGTTGACCTTATACTTTTTCCTTGTCATAGCATCAGTTATATAACTGTTATGTGGCGAAGGTCATCTAATATATGAACTTGTATAGAAGTCAGGCCACAACGTAAAATTATTTATTGAACAACATTTTTATATAATCATAAATCAATAATTCAAGAAAGTTGCAAAACAAAACGGATTCGTGTCGCAATCTAGATTATTTTATGTAAATTCTAGAATTATTTGTTTATGTTGCAAAATTATTTATTTGCTGTTGGACTAGAGATGGGCTGAGGTTTCTGTGTTCTACACTTGATGTTGGCAGAATATTTAAACTAATAAATAGTACAAATTATAACCGAATGAAATAGGTAGTACTTACCATGCATTTAAAGAAATACAGTATTTTATTAAACTTGCCACAAACAGTTAGAAAGCTACGAAAATATCCGGTAGAATACCTACAATTCAGTTACCATTTCTGTTTTATTGCACTTGAAGTGAACCTATCCTCTTTTATCTTCTTACAAAGGTATTGATTTTATTACTTCAGTCACTATCCCTACATACGAATACCCAGTGAAATTCACCTCACATGCTCTGGGGTTCCGCAATCGGCCGAATAGTCGGCCTTAACACGCACATCCCTAGTTGTTGGCCGAGGAGCGCAACACGTTGCGTTGCGTGTCGGCGCGGCCTTACGAAACTGATTCACAATGCAAGGTCCGTTCGCAAATAGCACAAACTATTGTTCGAACAATTATTTTCGACATAAACTGTTTTATTTACTTACTCATCTCCAAGACAGTGGGTCAAAGGTGCGCTGTCAAGGTCCACGAATAATTCATAAGATTTACACAATTTATAGGTACGTATTTATTGTGTAGTTTTTTCCTAGTAATTGATGCGTCAAATGAATACAAATGTAGGAAGACATCTTCTACTTCGTTTGTCACTTTGCCTTGCCTTTTCTTATGCTCTACATGTTCTACGAAGTTTTGTAACTTCAAATTGTGCTTTTGTGCTCTGAATTCGCCTCTAATCCGACATTTCAAATGCATTAATATCAATAAAAACATTAATCGATACGTGATATATACATAGTGCAATTTAAGTACTTGTAATACCATAATTGATCTTTTCAACCACTTTAATAGGTAATAATATATTTAATGACAAAGTTGACAAATGGTGAATTATTTCAACGGACACTATACGGTATTCAGCCGCCTCGTCCGCGAGTATGCGGCAATGAATAGAGATGTCATTGGCTAATAGTGCGGGGCCATTAGTCTTGCCATAATAAGCATATAAGCAGGTAATTGATGGTAGTATTTAAATACAAAAACCAACTATTCACAAAGTACTAAAGAATTTGTCATCATCTTACTAGGAATTGTATTAGATCTATGAACAACATTGGTTTTCCTAAGTTCCTAGCATCTAAGTATTCAATGTGCTATAATGTAAAAACAGAGCCGGGAGAAACAACACACATAACATAACATCACGCCTTTTTTATCCTCAAAGGGGTAGGCAGAGGTGCACATTATACCACTGTACAACGTAACACCCACTTTTCACTATTTATGTTATGAGTCCCATGTAATAGGGGGTGAGTTCCGGAGAGTAGTCCGGTAGTCCCGGAGAAACAAAAATTCTCTAAATCCAATACTGAACAGGATTTTATGTGATTTTTGCCAAAAGATATTGATTCTTGAGGAACTGTATCATTCGTGTAGAATTGATTACCGCAACTTAAGCTATAGGTTGAAAGTGAATAAGAATTAATTTCGTTTACACCACTCACTGGGCACTCTTACGCAACATCCCAAAGTGGACCAGGCAGTTGTTTGCTTGACCAAATGGCAAAGAAAATATGGCGTGACTCTCGTTACACGAGAGGGATTAGCTCACATCTCGAAGGCAATAATTAAGAAGTAATGATCAGTTGCGTAACGCATGTACTAGGTACGTGTCAGTGGAAAATTGTTGAGCCAAGGCTATTGCACCATTGTTTGGACTTGTTCATTGCAGAATTGTCTAATGATGCTTATTAATTTAAATAATAGGTAGATTGTTGACGTTGTGAACGTATTGTAGAGTTACTATTATTGAGACTTAAAATGTAATTCAGCAGCCGTTTTGGTCGGCATGATGAGAATCGTAACTGCTTCGTTATTGTTTAAGAAAATCGATGCAACCGTTCTAAATATGTAGCAACGGCTGTCCCAAACAATAACATATCATATGTTAAACAAATTATTCGGGTACTCGTACCTAAAACAAACTGTATGTTCCACAATACACCAACATGATAACATCTTATGCACTTAATACGCTGGATACGAGCTAACTAACTAAAGCGAGCAGGAATAACATTATTTACTTAATTGCACGTGTTCAAGCGTCACGTCATCACGTGTACTCTCTCCGTCGAAGTCACAAAGAAATGTGTTTATTTTCTACCTCAATGCCCATGGTAAACAGTTTCTTCCTATAAAAACAAAATCATAGTTTATGTTGATAGAGCATTTTGCATACTTGAATGTTGTACGTTCATTTGAACATAGTTTTGAGCTGTTCTTGTGTAGATTTCATCGTTTTGCAGAATTCTTTCTGTATATAACATAACATAATATCACGCCTTTTATCCCCGAAGGGGTAGCCAGAGATGCACATTACGGCACTTAATGCCCTTGTACAATGTAACAAACTTGGCACTATTTATGTTATGAGTAATGATTACCCCCATGTAATAGGGGGTGATTACCTATTATACCTATTGCCATATACCGGGCACGATTCCAGGCTCTGTGCTACTACTGAGAATTTTTAAATACCCTGTAGTACTTTGCCCGACCCGGCGAACCCGAGACCCCTTCGGCAGTCGCACTTGTGACCATCCGGCGAACGAGGCAGTCTTTCTTTCTTCTGCCATTTTGCCATCATTGATAATGCTATAAGTATCATGTAATCAGATTCTAGAGTGTTATATTTTACGCGGAGAGTATGGAGACTGGAGGTAGATTGATTGCCATCTGCCCTTAACCAACATTAAACTGTTTTACGTAATGCACTGTTATATAGACCCGTTGTCTTTTTAACATTGTTACACTGCACAAATCTCTTTACAATAATGGTATTTATTTATCAATTTTCTTCTATCTCCTCGTCTTCTCGTAAACATTCTTCTATATAAGTATATCTGGAACTTCTAAAAACACCACAACCAACTTCTTCATCCCACTATCCTGTCATACACTAAACAAATACCTTCTTCCTTTCAGTGGACCAACATACCCAACAAACAGTTTCTCTTCCAGGCCAGGCCAACCAAGTGGTTGAGCTGAATGTGACCGGTGGAGCTCTGGGACTGAATAAGATGTCCAAGAGAGAGGAAGCTCCTTACGCAGCTGAGGATGCTCAAGTTGTAGGTCTGGTGTTCCACCAAAGCAAGGAAGTGCTCATCGTAGACCATGGTGCAGGCTCGAATGGAGATGTAAGTTGCCTTGTAAAAATAAGATAGTTTCGTTGAATTTAAATGTTTAGTTTCCTGATTCTTCTTCAAGCCTTTCCACAAAGGTTGATCACGACATTCGTATCTTTAAAACATAGATAGGTAATACCCTAATCTTATTCATGCTGTTTGTATCTAAACTGGAAGATCTGAAACAGAACTAATCAGCCCTTGTATGTTATTCCAGATTCCCGGCAAAGTAACGGACGTGACACCTGACTGCGATGACTGCGGAGACTGTCTAAACGTAAGTATCGCTGCTATTACCATCATATAACGACCACAACAATACGGTTAGTGCGGTGGCTGGGCAACCGGCTACCACGCAACGTGTCGTGGGTTCGGTTTCCCCACGGACTCTTTGTGTGATCCACAAATTGTTCTCCGGGTCTGGGTGTCATATGTATGTGAACTTGTTTGTTTGTAAACGCACCCACAACATAGGAGAAAATCCTAGTGTGGGGCTACGTTTTATAAAAAAATATAAGTATAACAAAAAAACAATAATCCGACCGTAGTACTTCCTCCATTTTTTGAAGTCGGTAAAACACACGAGTAGATTTGATGTGACTATTCTTGCTTGTTAGACATCATGTAGGTAATAAGCTGATGTCCTCAATTCTACTTAAAAATTCTACGTGTCATTCTTCTGTCTTACAGTTTACATCTCGCGGGAAGATAAAGGCGTTGATCCAGAAGAACTTCCTCAGGATGTGGAGAAACATTGGTGTGATGCTGTTCATCTTCGTGTTACCTGTCATGCAAGTCATTCTGTTCTGTCTGGCTATTGGAAGAGATCCTAGTGGACTAAAGCTGGTAAGTCTACCGACGCTTTTACATTTTGTTCTTCAATTCTAATATTATGATGAGATTCAATTTAGCAAGCTTGATACTTCAGTTGCTAAGGATGAAGCTCGAATGAGCGCCTTCTTTGAACTATGTAATGAAGAGTTAATCCATGCATGAGATACAGAAGATTGTAATGATTTAACCTATTTGTCGACCTGCAACTTTTTAATCCTATTTTTGAGGAATAAACACTATCAGATCAACCGCAACCATAATTCAAAATATAGAAATCTAGGAAATTAATTTAAAAACATACAATAACTACACTTTTAAGTCTGGCATTGCTAAAATTTCCTTCTCTTCTTCCAGGCTATTGTAAACGACGACGTCCGCATCATCGATGGTTACTGTCCGTATAACTCGTCCTGCTCTATGAAGAACCTATCGTGTCGATACCTGGATAATCTGAACAATCATACGATAAAGGAGTACTATGCGAACCTCACGGATGCCCTGAAAGCAGTCGAGGACGGGGAGGCCTGGGGAGCGCTCTACTTCAACGAGAACTACACTGACTCTCTTGTTGCGAGACTGGCTTTGGGTAAATTTCTTCTTTAATTCAATTATTAAAATGTAATGTAGATATAAAGCTTTTCTGCTAGAAGAAGCGACGATATCTGTACAGTAGGATCGAGAAAAGCTGACCATCAAGCATTATATCTTGTAGTAAAGACGAATCTTCATAAAATCACTACCGTATCACATCATTACAGTCCATTATCGTCCAATTCAAATTACGATATAAGTAAATACCTACACCAGATTTCTTCTTAGCAACTTCTTTAATGAAAATGTTCTATCAACAGCTGACACGGCTGACAACGAAACCATCACATCTTCGGAAGTACAAGTGTGGCTCGACATGTCCAACCAACAGATCGGACTCATGCTGAACAGGGACATACAGTTTTCGTACAGGGACTTTGCTAAGGTAAGAATAAAAGACTATTCTAAGTAGGCAAATATGTCACCTTACTGTATCGTCAAATGAAAAATCTATTCTCTTTTTGGAATTCTTCTATCTGGAAGTATGCTTCATTCCTCTATTTGAAGTCCTCTATCTGTCTTTATCTACATTACTCACCCAAAACCATTTAAATATTTCTTCTTGAAGTTACATAGAAAGCAGCAGGAAACAGTGCTGTACTGTTCATATAATTCTTCACATTCAACTGGACTCCATATCCGGTATTCTTCTGCATGATCTAACTTTTCATCTTCTTTATTCCAGGACTTGCTACAGACTTGTGAATACAATCCGAAGCTAGGCGACATTCCTATCGACTTCATGGACCCCATCTACGGCAACAAGAACCCTTCGTTCACTGATTTCGTCGCGCCAGGAGTTATTTTGACGTAAGTTATAACTTTAGTGATTAAACTAGAAGAGCAATTTATTTGATGAATATTATTTAGCGCTTGACTTGAGAAGTGGTCATTGAGAATGGTATTTTACGAAAGAATTAGCTGACTGACCACATATCAGTGGGAAAAATTCTACAAAACTGTCAAGTTTAGAGTAATTTAAAGATTTGTGGTTTTCATAACTCCTAACGTTCTTCTTCTTTATTTTCAGTATCGTATTCTTCTTAGCCGTCGCCCTAACATCATCAGCGCTGATCGTGGAACGTATGGAAGGTTTGCTGGACAGGTCCTGGGTGGCTGGAGTGTCCCCCGGTGAGATCCTGTTCTCCCACGTGGTGACTCAATTCGTGGTGATGTGTGGACAGACAGCTCTGGTGCTCATCTTCATGATATCCGTGTTCGGAGTCAAGAATAATGGAAATATCGTGTTCGTCATCATGTTGACTCTGCTGCAGGGTAAGTGCACTTGATCTTTTTGATTTTGTAAGTGGTGCGTGCTTTCCACCCAGTGAATGGAAACTGAATATTGGAGAAATAGTATTGATATATGAAGTGCACTAGTACTATTCAAGTTACTTGATACGAATATCTTTGGTGTTGATACATTTAATACAGAATTAATTAGTATTTAAGTTGCCTCGGTCCTTGGGTCCTCTTCACATGCTTGTAGAAACGACTGGCGGTATTAGTTTAATAACATATAATGACCAGTGTGACCAGTTAATGTTACAACAAAACTTTTTGCAATCGTTAAATATTACATTATTATCTACACGTAATTGTAGTATTTATAATTGTTATATTTTACGACGAATAATTCTTCGTAGGTACAATGACGGACGGACGGTAATGTCATCAGTTGATGTTGTAGTTTTTGCCATCATTAAAGTTGGTCACAGATTATAAACAACATTATGATTTTTTATTGTTTTTAATGATGCACATTAACGTGGCGGACCTCAGATTTTTATGTTTTATTGTTGACAACAAAGGGCATTTGCATATTTTATGATTGATTACAAGGTGCATTATAAGGTATGATTACGATGGATTTTTTCAAGTTTCTAATACCTAAAATGTTATTTACAGGTCTCTGCGGCATGTGCTTCGGCTTCGTGATATCCGCAGCTTGCGAGCTAGAACGAAACGCGATCCAGCTGGCTCTCGGCTCCTTCTACCCGACACTACTGCTCAGTGGCGTCATCTGGCCCATCGAGGGCATGCCCTGGGTACTACGATACGTGTCACTTTGCTTACCACTGACTCTCGCGACCAACTCGCTGCGGTCCATCCTCACCAGAGGCTGGCCTATTACCGACCCCGAAGTATACATGGGCTTCGTCTCAACGCTAGCCTGGATCGCCCTCTTCCTAATCGTCACATTAACTATTTTGAAGTTCAAAAGAAATTAAGATGCCATCGCACTCGCTCAAGGCATTAGTCCGTTATTTGAAAGTCGTGTCGACTTCGAAAGTCCGTCCTTTAGATTTTTCTAAATGTATCTGTTATGCGTAAGAATAGCATTTAAATGGGGTTGCCCGACTATCGTGAGTTAGCCGTTAATTTAAAAATATAATTTTTATACTTACTTTGACAGTTGTTAAATGCGTAATCTGAACAAAAAATAGTGGATTACATTTGTAAATGTTTTGGTACGATTGTAAGCTCACGATAGGAAGGATTAGAAGTTCAGGACCACGCCTTATAGTCAGTAAATATTTCTTCATTTTAAAGGGTGAAGGTAGACGAGTCAGTTTGTTGTACACTCTCGAAACTATTATAAGAACATGGAAAAACAAATAAAAATACAAAAATATTAGCTCGGAATAAAATCTAGGTGTTTCATCAAAATACCTAAATCGCACTTCTGCCTGTTACCACCAAATACCGAAAGTGTACGACTTACTTTTTAATTTACTGGGAAAAGTATTCTATGTCGTGTTATTAGAGTCTTATTAAGAATGGCAGGCGTAGTTCACTTTTTCTAAAGTATTAGAGGGTGTTCGCAAAAGTGGTGTATGCTACATTTTCAAATTAAAAATTGATAAGACGAAGAATTAATAATTTAGTACAATTTTCAAATTGTATGACAAGTTGTTCTTTGAAGAAAAAATGTGCTACACGATTTTCGTCCTAACATCCTCTGTTTTCTAATATATTTTGCTCAAAAATCGAACAAAACTGATTTTTTATGACCTAGTTCTTATAGCTAATTGACTGTTAGTCGGAATGTAAATAGTAGCCTATATTTATGCATTAGTGTCAAGATATAATGTGTAGGGTTAGCGGGAATGTTAGCAATAATGATTGGTCCAACGCTTTTTAGAATTAACATGTTTTTCTTGTGTTTAATTCGAGAATATTCCACCTATTTGTAATCTTACAACAAACTTGGTTTAAATAAAACGGTACAATATTTAAAAAAAAAAATAGTGTTGCCTTCATAAAATACTGACCGGCGTTGCCATTAACTTGATGAATTTTATTACCATTTAAAAAATATTTTTCTCGAAATAAACACAGGAACCTCGCTATCATCGGTAGGGGACATTATAATGTAAGATTTTGACATTCAATGTTGAAAATACCTGATAAATGAGTTACCATAGAATAAGATGGTGCCATAAACAATAATGGTGTATAAGGAACTACTTTCAAAAAACCTTTTTGGATTCAAAAATACTGGTTCAATCTTTAAATACTGAATCATTATTATTTTTATTTATTCTCTGTTATATACCTGTGTGAATATTATTTTTAATAGAGTTAAATAAAAATAGTAATATTTCAGTAAACGGCAGCGCCATCTTGTTTTTTTTAAAGGGCAACACAAACTTTATGGTATTCAAAATCTATGATACCTAATGGTCACATCATTTTATAGATATTAGTGATGTACAGTTAAGTTAGGTTTTTACGGAGTCTAGAAATGGTAAATAGTCTAGATTTTAACTATTTTAAGTTATATGTGGCGTTTTGTATAAAATATTCTTTTTTTAGAACTTTGTCTATAGATGTCGCTTAGCAAATGGAACATCGAATAGTTGTGTAAATCGGTCGCTAGATGTCGCTACGAATGCATCGATTGTGTGTATAATTAATTATTGTATCTTAGAAGTGTCAGACTGTGATTATTTTTGCTAACATTGACATTTTTGTAATGACAATTATACAATAAATACTGTACCAAATAACACGTGTGTTTTTATTAATATTTACGAGTTTTAAACCCAGAAGATACACATTTTTCTTTAACTAAAATTCATTAACAAATTTATCCATTACTGTTATAGATAAATAAATAATATATGAAAAAAAACCCTTATATTAAAATGTTCATTACTTTAATGCACATAATGATAAAATAATAAGTTACATACGTCGCAGTACAGCTGGAAGAGAATCACATAATTATTACAATCACACTATTTCGTTAATATCTCGCTTAGAGCCTTCTTCTTCTTCTGTCCTTTGTCAAACTTGCGTTTCTGAAAGATAATAGTTTTATCATTAGAATTTATAACTAAGAAAAACATTTATAACGGGCACGACCAACTCGAACTAGGAACCTTGTAGTAAAAATAAACATACATAACATCACGCTTTTTATCCCCTAAGGGGTAGGCAGAGGTGCACATTATGGCACTTAATGCCACTGTACAATGTAACAACCACTTTTCACTATTTATGTTATGAGTCCCACGTAATAGGGGGTGAGCCTATTGCCATATACTGAGTACATTTCCAGACTCCGTGTTACTACTGAGATTTTTAAAAACCCAGTAATACTTTGCCCGACCTGGGAATCGAACCCGAGACCCCCTGCCCGGCAGTCGCAGCTGCGACCACTCGGCCAATGAGGCAGTAAAAATAAACTTCATCATTAACTAAAAATCGCGACTTACGTGAATATACTGAGAAAAGTTCAACTAAGTTGGTTAATTTAGTATGTCTCACGATAGTTATTATTATAAAAACTTCATCATATTAGATACTGTTAAAAATAGATCTCCCCCAATAAAACTTGTAACGGATCAATCAAAATTGTATCAATTAAAATTGATACTTAACAATGTATTAACAAGCCATACTAAAAAGATACGATTGTCCATGATTAATAGATAATAATATAGCGTGGTTAAAATTAAAATCATAATTTCTACTCTAATTTATTCCTAAAAATATATTCAATAAAATGATTAAATTTCAAGTATAACTAACCTTTTTCTTTTCAGCCGTCATACCGACGAATTCCTTTCTGGGTTTCTTTTCTTTGTTGGGCTGACTTTGGTCTCGTGGCCTCTTATTGGGCGGCCCTTCGCCATCGCCACCTACACCATCCTGGAAACATTACAATAATTGTGTTATAACAAAACACTCTCAATGATAAACTGCTGAACTAATTTTGATAATATATGATTTTGTCAATAATATTTATTCACAAAATAATCATGGTTAGCATTTCGAAGCAAAGAAAAATTTACACACACACACCTTTTGTTGTCATAGTTATCTATACTAATATTATAAAGAGGAAAGATTTGTACCTATTTTTGTAAGTTTGTATGTTTGTAATGAATAGGCTCAAAAAGTACTGGACCGATTTAAAAAATTCTTTCACGAATAGAATGCTACATTCTTCCAATTTGACATAGGCTACATTTCATTTTGAAAAAGAATTAGGGATCCTTGGTAAAATTTGAACAATGTAACCCAAGGTGTAGAAAAATTAGTCTTAAAATGTCTTTCGTCGAATGCGCTGCCGAAACTATTAGCGATAGAACAAAATAATGTACAACAATATTGAAGAACATCATAATGTCTCCAAAAAACTCCGCGGTAGCATAATATGTCCAACTATTGTAGTTATGTCACTACAACAATCCAAATTTCCGAAAATAAATAATTGTCTACCCCGTACGAAGCCGGGACGGGCTGCTAGTACCTAATAAAATTACACTAAGATATATAACGAATTAAAATCATCGCTGAGTATAAAGTACTAAGACGTGACGTAACATCGTGGAATATTTCAAATGAATATTTTACTCGTCGCCAAAAGTTGTGGATTATGTAAAACACTGGGGAATATTTTTTACTCATCTCATCTGTCAGACGGAGATAAAAAAAAATCAGACACAAAGCAAATGGACAACTGGCTGCTGTCTAATACGCAGAATTCGATAGTTATAAATTGGGGACCAATAACTATCAAATAGATTATATGGTAGAGAAATTAGAGTTGACTAAAAACCGCGGGTTACTTACGTGAAAATACTGAGCTCTACTAGTTTCGAGTTTATCGCGCAGCCTATGTCGAAACTAGTAGAGCTGCTCTCAGTATATTCACGTGAGTAACCCGCGGTTTTTAGTTAATTTAGTATGTCTCACGATAGTTATAAATAATTGGTGTTGTTTACAAATATGTGAGTGTTTGTAGATGTAAATACGAGACAGGAGAAAATCCTATCTATGTAAATAAACAGAACAAAATAATAGCTATTTTTATTTCTTACCTGGCTCTTCCTCTTATTCATGATCCTCCTGTGAGCTCCATCGTGTCCCTCCTCCCCCTGCGCCTGACTTCTTTGACCACCAAACTTATTGAACCCTCCCTGTTGATTATTATTCCCTCTAAACGCGTTCCTCTGTCTATTACCCTGGTTGTTACGACTTGGAGGTCCATTTTGTCTATTACCCTGGAAATTGTTGCGACTGGGAGGGCCGTTCTGTCTGTAACCTTGGTTATTGCGACCGGGAGGACCATTTCTCTGGTTATCTGGTCTAAAATTCCCTCTTTGCTGTCCCTGGTTTCCTCTAAACCCTCTCTGTGGTTGGTTATTCTGGTTGTTACCAGTTTGATCCGGTTTCTTCTTGTTTGTGACCTGTGTGCATCGTTTGACACGTAGTATTCTGTTTTTAACTGTTAGATCTTCTTCTGTTAACGCTAGAGCTAGTTCTACGCCATCTTTTGATTCGAAGTTTACATACCCGAAACCTGGAAACATATTTATTATTTTATTCAAAGGCATAGGTACTGATTTTAAACATGAAATCGTAAATTAAAAGTGTGAAACACACTTTAAAGCCTAAACATGCTTCCATTTATAAAAATTTTCAGAAAATCGTATATTATTACTACTTGTTTAAAACATACACAGTAATAAAGTAACTATATTTAGTTTAAACAACACTCACCTTTTCCCGCATTAGTCTTCTTGTCCCTGACTATCCTGACAGAATGAATCTCCCCGCACTTCTCAAACTTGGCCCTCAGAGCTTCATCTTCCATAGCAAATGGCAGGTTGCCAATAAAGATGGAACACTTGGGGTCATGTTCAGCTCCCGTGCTACTGCTCCGGGATACTCGGAGGTGGTGCTCATTTAGTACTGTGTTGTTTTCTACTAATGCCTGAGAAGTGAAAAAATGTTTTTTAGTTTTACGGTGCTTAGCTGTGTGTGGAGTTTCTTTAAAGGTTGTGCAAGAATAATATGTTGCAATAATGTTACAATTCAATGTGTAACACATGAAGTCGGTTGACAATACATAATGTTGACTTCCTGTATGACAACAATTAATTGTTTAAACATAAAGTTGATTGGTTGTTTTGTTCAAAACTGCAGATTCCTAGGGAATAGAATTAGCAAGATACTACATTATCTCTTTTTCAATACATAATTAAAATTATTAAACATTTACAAATCATGTAAGAAAATCATATAAAAAAAAAAATCATATAAATAAAATTAATTTCTGTTTGTTAGTCTCGCTAAAACTCGAGAATGGATGAACCAATTTGGATAATTTTGGTTTTGAAATATTCGTGGAAGTTCAGGGAAGATTTAAAAGGTGAGAACAAAAAAAAATTAGAGCTGGTACTAAGTTAGCCCGGTCGGCTAGTTATAACATGAATATTCTACTAAATTTAATCAATTAAGAGAGGCATAAAAGACAATTAATCAGAAACCAGACATGTCAGTAGAAAGATAAATATTTCGAAAGTAAATAAAACTGACCTTCTCAACAGAGTCCTCACTGGCGTACTTGATGTAGACATTAACAGTGGTCCTCTCGGGATGCAGCTCGTGTTTAATCAGCGCCAGCTTGGGGGTGTAGCGGCCATCTTTTAAGGGGACTGTACGGATTCTGTAAAAACAATTTCATTTATTATTTTTCATTTGTGACATATATTGTATTTCCAAACATATTAATGTATAGATTTAATGTATGTATTGATTGTAGAAAACCAAAATATTAAAATATTAACTACTGCAATAGTGAAAAGCCTTACCCAGAAATATCAGAATGAATAAATATAATTTATTACTTAACACATATATTCAAGTTACTACTATCACTGCCTCGTTGGCCGAGTGGTCGCAAGTGCGACTGCCGGGCAAGGAGTCTCGTGTTTGATTCCCGGGTCAGGCAATGTATTAAAAAAATCTTAGTGGAAGCACGGAATCTGTAATAGCAATAGACTCGCCCCTTATTACATGGGACTCATAACATAAATAGTAATATTGAGAAGTGATGATGCGTGATGTTATGTTATGAAAATTCAGGTTAAAAGTTTTTTCTTATATTTATAATAAAACATAATAATCTTACCTAATAGTTTCAATCTGCCCATGTTTATTAAATATTTTCTTGACTTCCTTCTTACATTTCGCACTGAAAGGTACATTACCAACAAACAGTGTCCTCTTAATCTCATCCTCTGTATTTCTCTCAACTCCACTATCTTCTGCTTTCTCCACTTTCTTCTTTTCTGCCTTCTGAGGTTTTTCTTCATCTTCTTCCTCATCAGAGCTATCTTGTTTCTCATCTTCAAGAACCTTTTTATTAATTTCTTCATTTTCCGAATCAATGTCATCATCGGAATCATGTTCTGAGTCTGAATCTTTGTCTGTTATGGCATTTGGATTAACTGTGTTATTAGATTCTTCTTCATTCTCACTTTCCTCTTGTTTCTCTTTATCTATCTCCAAATTTTCTTTTACTTTCTCCTGTGCTTTGGTTTTTTTCTTCTTATTTTTCTTTTTTGATTTTTTAGATTCATTTTCACCTACTTCTTTGACTTTTTCTTCTGAAGTTCCTTCAGAAGTAGCTGTCTCCTCTACTTCTTTGTTCTCATTATTGTCTGCTGTACTTTGTGCCTTTGATTTCTTCTTGCGTTTCCTATTTTTCTTTTTAGGTGTGTTATTACTATTTGTTTCTATTGTTTCTGAACCTTTTTCTTCTGCTTCTATATTATTTGCTTTATTATTCTGTTTCTTAGGGCTGTTTGTGGCTTCAGGTTTAATTAATTCTTCAGTGTGATCATTTTCTTTATTACTGTCCGGTTCTGCAATAGATTTACGTCTCTGTTTGTTCTTTTTGGGGCTTTTGGCTACAGGGGCTGTGACCTCACTGGTTACATTCTCTGTTGGTTGAGTTGCAGTCTCTGTAGAATCTGATTCCAAGGCCAATTTCTTCTTCTTTTTCTTAGGTGTATTTTCATTATTAACTTGATCTATTACATTTTCATTACTTTCCGCTTGGGCTGTTGATTCTCTTTTCTTACCTTTACCTTTAGGTGACTTCGGAACTGGTACACTACCAGCTTCTAAATCATCTTTCAAATGTTTCTTCACCTTGTCTGCCTTAGGACTGGAAAGACTCGCATTTCCTTCGCCATTCTCGGTTGTATCTAAATCTGGATTCTCAAATATCCTCTTCGGCGACTTCTTGACTATAGCCTTCTTTTTCTGCATACTTGGTGAAAGAAATATGGATCTATCGTCGACAAACTCACTCTTTGGAGTAACGTTCGGTGAAGGTTGGTGTTTTGTTGGCGTTAGTGCTATTTTGTTGAGTCGTGTGGGACGATGTGGTGTCACGTTACCGGTAATTAAGGCTGCCACGCTTCCTACCACGTAATCCATGACACTGGCATACACAATCGCGTAAAACAACTATTTTCAGTTCAAACACCGTGTGTCGTTTCAACGCACATGGTGTTTTTTGGTTATTTTGAATTATGACAGCTGAACATATGACATTCGGGGATTTGACAGTAATTTAGGGTGGTCACGTAAAAATGAATAAGTTCCCAGCAAACTATAATTATTTTTGCATTGATCTCAATTCGACAAAGATTCTGATTATAATTTTATTTTGTATTTGCTGTAATCATACGGTCTTGAATAAAGTAGTACTATACAAATAGATTTAATGTAATTATTTGTAACTTAATCGTATGTACGTACACATCACTCAAGCGTTCCTACTATTCTTTAAAATTAGTAATATAAGACTTCATTAGTCTTCATAAAAATTAGTAATAAAAATGAAAAATGAAGTATATCATCAAATCGATGAATGAAATGTGTATTATTGATTATTTCTGTATACAAAACTTGAAAGAATTCGTTTTATTTGATGAAAAAATTATAAACTGCCAAGTTTATAATGATTTGATGATGTTTGTGCTTTTATTTTCATGATTAGAGAAAGAAATACGAAATAAAGCAGAAATATGAAATAATTATTTTACTGCTCAAACAAAAAATTCCATTAATATACGTAAAATCATTTTCCTTGGAACCCCAAAAATGTTGCCCAATAAATGAAAAGGTTTTATTGAATTTTACGCAATAATTTTATTTTTTATGCAATGTCCAGTTATTAAAATAATGCCTTTTATTGTCTCAAATTATCAATGAAATTTATTTATACTTAGAGCTTTATACAAAAAAATAAATAAATGACACGCTCCAAGAAAACGAAATAAGGTAATAAATAAGTCAGTCGATCGAATGGCAACACATATATATTCGGTGTTCCGGAAAAACGATGCGTTTCAACGACGCTTTCTTGATAATTATTCGTTTTGTTTGATCACTGCACGCCAAATTCGGTGATATTTACGTTATTCAGTGTTATTTTCTGTGAGTGTGGATTATTCCTACTAAACGTGAGTATTTATTTTGTTTGTTTCAGTGTTTTCCTATCAAAAAGTGAGCGCGCCATTGTGCCGCCCGCCATCATTTCAATTATTGTTTTTTTATTTGATCAATTTGATTGAAACACTTGTGAATATTATCGAAAATTGCCGGAAAGTGGTTCAAAAACTTGTGAATGTTCTGTTCTTGTTTACTGATGTTATTGTGGTTAAATAGGTTATGGATTGTGCACGCCTAAAGGAACTTTGCGTCGGTGTATCGTCTCGTAATTACGTTCGGCCAAGTCGTGTAGTATTTCGTTACAAACTTACAACACGCTATTGTAGCTATAGTTCGCTTCATATTTCAGCTACATAAGCCCTATACAATACACAAGAATTAAATGAAACCTGATCTCTTTGATTCTTATTAGGCAGTGCAAAAGTTTACTATGTTTTTCTACATTGTATTTTCTAAGATATCTAGCTATGTACACGAGTTTGGTATATTAATTTATGTATCTACTATTCGAGAACTTGTTTCGAAGTTTACCTGTTACTCTGAAATTAGTCATTTTTATATTTTAAGTTACAATAAAACTTCCTAGTCTTTCATAACATGTATATAGGTAACTATTTTATTACCTTGACATTCAAACTAGATAAATTCTCATAAAGATAAGTGTTTATTTTATCTTTATATCCAAATCTTTTAATATCAGATCTGAAAGATAAGTTTTAAAAATATAACAAGAATTTAATAATCAAACTTTAGTACCAATCAGTGTCTTTATTTTCCTCATAAATACATACCTAACTAATTATTGTTATGTGTTTTGATTTGTTTTACTAAAGTTTATTATAAATATCTCGAGTTGTAAAGAACAGGGAAATATAACTACTTACTCTTTACAGATAGCTAATCAATGGGTATTGTAATTAAAGATGATTAATAAATGATTTTTAACTAAACTTAATTAGACGAATGCAAAAAAGGTATGTAAGTATCGTAGCAATTGGAAATCCATAGTCCCTGCCTTCCCCCATGGGAAACCGGTGTTATGTTATGTATGTACGTATGCCAAGAAATTTCATTCATACTGTAAAGATATAATTCGTAAATTGTAAGCGATGTGACCGTGGCGATCAGATAAATCGACTTATCTGCACCGCACCTGCCCGTAACCTCTTTATCTACCAGTACTATGTTTATCCTCCTTTACTCCGTACTGATAACATTCATGATTACTCGTAAGATTTGTACAACGGATTAACATTTTAGTAGAATTTATTATGTAGATTCATTTTATGTACCAACTATGGTTCTTGATCTTACCATTAATTACATCTTACGTATGTGATTGGATAGTTTTAAGAATACAAAAGTATGTTTGGGAAGCAATTAATTTTGTGCTCCAAAGTGAATGAACTTGCTTATCAACGTAGATAAGCAATATAATCTGTAGATTGTAATTTTTGTGTCAAGTGGCACATTCTACTATCATACGATAGTAGAATTTATCAGAAAAATTGCGGAAAATAGTGTGTAACTTTTTTTTTCATAGAAATTGATGTAACTATGTAATGATAGAACTAAAATAATAGGTACGTAGTTATTATCAACCTATGGTTTGTATGACCATAGCAACTCAAATTTGCACCTACAAATAAATTTAAATAAATTATAAAGTCAAGGTTAACATAAAAACACTTCCTACGGCGGTTCTATTACTCGTACTTTAATAAGTTTTGCAAAAAAATATAATGGCTGTATTAAATGTTTTAAATTGTGAAAATCATATAAAAAACTATAATATACAAAATCTACAACAAAGTCGTACATTTGTACGATAAATTACGCCATTTAAAACTTTAGAAATTGACCAAGATGTGGTATTACCCATAACAAATCTAAAACAAAAAAGGCAACATACGAAAATTGATAACCTCCTTTTTGGGAAGTCGGTTAAAAATCGACATTTTATCACATCGTGTCATACGGCGGCTATAGTTCATCAAAAAAGGTTAGTTGTCGATTATGTGCAAGTGCGTGTCGCCGAGACAACTTGACCGACAAATATAAATAAATAAACTCCGACAAGTGCAAAAAAACTGCACTCAGTCCCCTTCCCCTAACCACAGGATAAAGTTGAGATACTGCGCAATGTCTGTCGACAACTTTCTTTTTTTTTGAACTTTCTGTATTTGTTTTGTAAACAGATGACGCGAAAGCCATATGTAAGTAATACGAGTTTAGGAGAATTATATTTCTGGTCCTTTCCCAAACTTACGATAAAAGAAGAAAAATTGTGTTACACATAATAAAAACTCCGGCCACGACAATATGCATGACACAGCATCGTATGTCATGCTCGAAATATCATACTTTTCAAAGAAAAAGAGAAAACAATAGTTTTTTTTTGCTTTTGAAATAAAGCCTTATAGTTTACAACGATATCATTATTCGAAAGAATTTGTCACAAAATTATTCAGAATAGGTTATTTAACTGAATATTTTCCCTACTATATTCAGTAATAAGTAACTTAAAAATTCTTTATAATTAAAGTGTACCTACCTATTACACTCAAGACATTACTGACGGCCCAGCTCGTAAAACAGGTTTAAAACTTAAAATAACAAAAACGATAACTACATTTAATTCATTCAAACAAAGTTTTAATAGTTATATTGTAGAAAAAAACTTCTGTAATAGGTATAATTTATTATTGCTGTTAGCGAGTTAGTTACTACGATTATCCTTAAACAAAATGTGGCCACTATGTAGGTACATTGCCGTACTATCTTAAGTATGACTAAATAGAACAATATGCCAAGCTACTAAACCCACGTGGTTAACACACAACTTGTAATGTAATGAAATACATACTCTCAGCTATCTTCCTTACGTCCAAAGCATGTGTATGGTTTACTTTTAGGACCGTCCCTAAAATAACCCGCACTACGACACTTCCTAGTTTGAGAAAGACACATCACATGGAACTAGAATTGATATATTTCTGTGATATGTGATATTTTCACAGTTAATATCTTATGGCTGAGTGTTGACTTTCATTAAAGAAGATTAGAAAAACCACTGCTAAGTTCAGTCATAAGAATAAATACGACAGTTGGCTGGACTCATGAAAGAACTGAAAATATTGTTTTACAAAATCTTCATATCTCGTTGGCAAATCAGCGAATGCCAACAAAAAATCTCACGGGCCTCTATTTGCCAATACATAAACCATATCAACATCCCAGACGTTACACGACCTTGAGTTGTGGGACAAGAAATACCTACCAAGCAAATAATTTGTCGAGTCAAATTCATTCATCATATCTTTAGCGTGGTTGGTATTACGGAAGCAATCACCCGTAGTTGCTAAGTGGGCGATCCATAGCTTTAATCTTAGCTTAGAAGCCTCGATAATGACAGGAAGTAACTACAAAACACATTTTGTTAAACTTCAATTGTCGTAAAACAGAATCCAAAATGTATTTGGAGTCAAACTGTCTCGATAACTGGTTCTAGTCATAAGAAGTGGTATTAGTTTTGTAATTTAAAGTCTGTGATTCATTGAATAGCTAGTGATATAAATACTAATCGATATTCGAACTGTGTCTACGATTCGGTTGATACGGCAATTGGTGGAGACCAAACAGAAGGTCCCTACTTTCTTGTTAGATGTGCATTATCTCAAAATTTTTGTAAACTAAGATTAAGCGAATCGTGCAGGGCCGGTCAAGAAACGTAGGTCTTGTAACCATAAATAGATTTTAAAGTAGGAGGCCTAATGATTCGATTGAGTCCAGAGAGCGGACCTGATTGAATATAACTAGCTTACTTTACAAGGCCTACGCTTGTTGTCGATATCTGAGAGTATCTCATTGTCCCATAACTGACATGTTTATCAAGATATAACAAAGGATTTCTGCGATTATTCAACCAGCTAGTATGTACCTTTCAAAGGTACGGCACTATAATAGCTCAATTAGGTAAC